TCAAAGTTTCCTCAGTGCCCTGGTGGCGACGGCTATACAAACCCCTCAGTAGCGTTGATTATTGCCGTTGACTTCGAGCATTTGGAACAGGGGCGGCACTGGTCCAACGCAAGGGTGCCTGACTTCAAAGCGGCATTGGCCCAATACTATTGAGGCGTGACTCACACTAGGGGGAGGTGGCGCCTGAAATGCGTGAGCGTGTTTGGCATGGCATCCTGGCATTCTTGAGTGCCTTGAGGATGACAGCTTGTTCAACGACATGGACACCGCCGCAGAGGCGGAGGGCATGGACGCCATGGATACAATGGGTATGGACAACCAAATGAACTCGCGTGATGTTGAGAATGTAATAGTCAAAGTTAACTTTACACCAACGTTGGTGTACTTTGGGCCGTATTTCAAGGACTGAAACCCGAACTGAAAGAGTGGAAAAATGAATGGACAAGCTGTTTTATTAATGGAGAGGCTTGTCCTTATTTCAACAAGCCTGTGCGCATAAATGTTGGCTCACCTTTCCAGCAAATTAGCAGTTTTCTAGTTTTCCAGACAACTGTACAAAATACAGCATCAAAACATTGAAAGCAATGGGTGAGAAGGGCAGCTTTCGCAGTGAATCCTGCTCAGGAGGCCTGTGCCGATGTTCTCCCCCCGGTTCGAAAAGCCAGGTCTTTTGCGGCGGACGTTGGGATGAAGAACTCAAGCGGAAGAACGTCCTGCTCCGGGAAGATGCACCGCTCCGTGGCTCCTGTTATCAGAACGTGGCGTCAGAGATCCTCGCCGCCGCCCTGAAGCTACCGCGGCACCCGCGTGGGCCCTCATAGAGACCCCAAATAATGCGCTACGCAATGCCATGTGCAAACGACGCCAGGAACCCCCACTCGTCAGACTCCTTGGGTTAACTCAGGGTGCGCGCAGCCACCACCCGCGGCTCACGGCCTCCCAAGCAGCTCCCTGGCCGGGTCCCCTCCCTCCTCCCCCGAATCACAGACTGCCAGCCGACGGCCCGTGAGATGCGGTCTCGGCCGATCGCCTCCGCCGCGGCGGCGGTCGCCCTGCTGCTCCTGCAGATCGGCATCCGATGCGAAGCTGGAGTTGAAACGCCACTCTCTGCGGCCCTCGCGCGTGGCGCGGGCGGCGGGCTGGAGCTCGCGAGGCGGCTGGAGCGATCGCTCATGGGTGCGCAGATCGGCCGGGGCCGGTTCCTTTGTCGCTGGCGGCACCGGGGCGCCGCCAGCTACCCCGAAGCCGAATTCAAGGATGCTTCAGTGTGGCCCGGGCCTGGGGAATCCCAGCGGGGAGTTTGCCGCCTGAACTTTGAATAAGGGGATTTTGGAGCGCGGGAAAGGCGGGGGTGACGGAAAGTGGGATCGGAGCGGGGCACCTGGGGGGATCGGCCGTGGGAGGGCGAGCGATGGGTGACAGTCATGGTTGGGAGGCCAGCCATCCGGCCAGGGGCAGCAGCCGCGGCGAAGCGCCCGATCACGTCGCACGGCACAGCGATGCGGGGCAAGGAAATTTGCCGCGGAGAGGGGCTAGATGGCGACACACGGCTCAGGAATGCGAGGAGCCACCCTTGAGGCACTGCGGCATCGAATTCTGCGCGGGGGGCCATGGCCCGGTCGGAAACTTCCCGGGGCCTGGTCGTCGGGTTGCCGCTTCGCAGGCAGGGATTCGCGGCGACAGAAACCTGCAATGAGCGCACCCCGGGAGCCGGGCATCGGCACGGCTGCGTCAACCGGGCGGGGCTCCGAAGAAGTCAAGTTCGCGCTTCGCGGGAGGGCCGTTCGCGGCGATGACCGGGGTGCGGGGGCTCTGGCAAGTGAAGAGGCGCGAGGGGCTTCTGCACCACCTTCCTCTGACCGGTAACCTCTAAGGTCCCCCATGGCGGGCCGCGCATGGAGAAAACGGCGACAGTGGAGACTTGCCCTTGTGGGTTTGCCGCCTGCCTACCGCTGGGGCCACCCCAACACGCACCTGTCAGCCATTGACCTCGCCACAGGCCCCTCGTGCAGCGCACTGGATTGTGCGCATGCGCATTAAGATCGATTTGCTGGCGTATGGGGGCATGGGCATGCTGACGTGATTCAGACTGCGGCGCACTCTGGCGCACCAATGCGATCCAGCGTAGAAATCGTTTCCTGCAGTTGCGATCCGATTGAAGGGAATCGTAGTTCGTGGTTGCCCGGCTGGACGATCGGCTGGGAGCTTTCGTCGGAGTGGCTTGCTTCAGCTCGTGGCAAAATTCCTGCAGCATCACTGCATTGATGGAACACGACTGACACACAAAGAACAAGCATTGGAGTAGGGCGAATGTTGGTGTTAACAACGGCCAGCACTTCAGCATAGTTGGCGGGGCCACTGTGGATATTTGGCCGAAACCTGCGGTGTTGGCGTTATTGTTTCTGGGTTTGTAGGGACTCAGTACCAGCTTTAAATACTGGGTGCTGGCCAGTTGTCATCTGAGCCCCTGTCAACAAATGGACTCCACCCTCCCCATTCTCAGGTTCCACGACAGATAACTTGTGTGCCAGTCTGAATGTCGCAAATGGGAGCTATTTCAAGGCAGTGTTCTGACGACATGGTGATGCACCAAAAGATGACGTTCATATGCGGCACGTAACGTTTGGCAATTTTGGGGCAGGGGTTCAGAGAAGTGCATCAATGAGCTGAACACGTCTTTAGGTCGCTGACAGTTGATTGCCTCATTGTCTTTGGCACACATCAAGTGTTTGAGTTCCAGCTGCACATTGTAGTGTGCTGATGAATGTCTGCTGAACAGATGGGGGCCATAGTGCCAGTTCACTGTCAACCACCAGGCTGGCTTCCAGGCTGTCTCGGAAAATGTTGACCAACGAGACACTGAATCAGGTAGGCAGCTCTCCTTGGTCTCTGCTTGCCCAGCACTTGCTTAGGGCGCTCGTTGTCAAAACACAAGAGCATGGCGCGCCTTGTCCTCCCTGCCACAAAGTTGAAAACTGCAGCTTCAGTATCAGTCCCTTTTGCAAAGATGGCAAGTGCAGTTCTGCATTCCCCTTGTTAGCCTGGAGAAGGTTCTTGGTCATTAAGATCCATTGCCTTAGATTTTCATGCATGACAGTGCAGCGCGCTACTGGCTGTGTTGGCAGCACTGTAATGAATTCTGTTACAAACCGCTACGTAAACTTTAATTGATGTAAGCTCTTGTCCTTACTAGTTCTTTGCTCTCACAAACTACGCTAAAGTGAGTTGCCTGCTAATGTACTTTAGAAAGAGCTGTTTTGGTGGTGCACAATTGACTACATGCCCATCCCGATTCCAGCACTGTGCCTGGTAAAATCGTTGCCCACATGGCGCCTGTCTGTCAAGTTGTCAGCCAGCTCGAGCCCCACCCGCAGCTGTGTTGGCAAGGTCGAATCCACTTGTGCATGTCTTACTAACAAAAAAAGACGATGGGCCCTCGAACGTGATGACCGATGTTCAAGAGATAAACAGCACGCACACTTCACACAACACAAGCCACACACTTGGGTGGAATAGCTGCAACCATCTCCCAACGCAGCTCTTGGTTGTGATGGACAAGATATGCTTGGTGAACATGAGCACTTCTTTTGTGATGTGCATAGGGACTGCTCACAGCGGCAGAAGATGGTGACATCTATGTGGTGGACACTCTGCTTGGCCAAGGGGCAGATGTGGATGCTGTCGACCTCAATGGGAACACCCCACTAATTCTTGCTGCAGGCAATGGACACATTGATGTCATGAGGTAGGAACAGTACAAAAACTGCTCTTTCTACTCTCTGCACATCATCCATCTTTGAACAGCGCATTTCCTACAGCGGCTGTGCCCGGAAGATTGGAGACTCGTTTCTTTGTCGCGGCATCAATGACCATCAATGTGCTGGTGTGGGGAGCCCATTGAAATAATATCCCACATTCTGCAATACGAAATATAAAATTGAAGCACTTTTGCACTGCTCATCATTTCGATATTCGGAATCAATGGCTCACTGCCATTTTAGCAGGATTCAAACCTTGGTTTCCATTGCTGAGCAAAAATTTGTGGCCGGGTCACTCTGGGGTGGAGTTTATGCTCATGTAATGGTCAACCTGTTCGCATACTTGTGCTTATCACAATGGCCTCAAAGGCGTTGTCACCTCTTGGAAAACAAGAATTGTGTCTGCATCTATACGGCATAGTGCTGTTGGGTAGACCCAGTGAAAAGGCAAAGCAACCCCTGCATATTGCTTTTCATCATGCCGCAGTTTGGGATTTGTGTCAGCTACATTTGAATTGTTAAAACTGAACTTTCTTCTTGGATCTTTCAGAGGATTACAGGGAAGCATAAATACTTTGTGTGCATGTGCCTCAACAGCACACACAACAAGTCACACACAGAGTGCCTCAACAGCACACACAACAAGTCACACACAGTGTGTACAGTAATCAAATGTCGAAACCATGATCTGAACAGACTATAAGAGGTGACGTCAACTCGGTGTGGTTTGTCAGGGTGCTGTTGAATCATGGGGCAGACATTGATTTTCAGGGTTATTTTGGGGCCACAGCACTGTGGACTGCTGTGGACCTTGAAGAACTGGATGCAGCTACATTCCTTCTGGAGGTATGGCGCCGAAATCTTTGGCTGCACGGGCCAAGAAGGTCACCTGCAATGCTTTGCGGTGGGGAGCTTTGCCTGCTTAGTGCAGCCCTGCAGTCATCGCAATTGGCAGGGCGGTATCCTTGCGCTTTCTCTTTACAATGGTTGTGATCGGCATACACACCTTCTTCCGTTACGAATTGTATGAATTTACACTACATTCAATGCACGTGACACATATGTGCATTTTTTGCATGAAACACTAAATTCTAGTGTTTCTATTTTTTGTGTATCTATTGTCGAGCTGTTTGTGTTGACATTTGCCTTTGCAAGACAAAGTGGCGTGCTTGCATTACACATGCGACAATGGGCAAGAATGCCCAACATTCACCTGTCAACAATGCCGCCATTTGATACCTGTCTGCAATGAACAAGACAAATTGGTCAACGAAAGAAGAGACTAAAGATATCAGTATTCCGCGCAGCCATAGACTTACGCCCCCAAACTATCTCCACATTCTCTAATCGAGTTCTGTGCCAGTGGGCAAGTTTAGTGTCCCAAGATAAGCCCTGTCAGGCCCAGCAGGCGCTGGCAGTGTGAAGCACTCTATTGATGATGGGTGCCAGATGCATCACTTCCTGGAATTCGTTACCTGAAAGCATTTTGAGGTGTGCTTGCAGACCACATAAGGATTATTGCTGCCTGATGTGGTAATGTCAGAAGATGCACATGCTATGGCGTACATCGCGTTGCATTAGACGCATCATTCAGTCCCTCCCAGTCCAGCGGGCTGTGATAGCATGAATCACTCTGTGGATCATGACCGGTGGTCTCTCGAATACGATGTACTGTCGCTGGAACGGAATCCACCGACAGCTGCAACAACATACATCTAAACTCCCCGCACCACCCAATCCCACTCCCAGTGGCCCGAACCCGAGCCGCAGCCAAGCTGTTGGCCATGTTTTGATTGTTTTGGCTGTCTGTTCTCTGGAATTGCGTTCAGCAAAATGCCGACATGGAGATCACCACAGACGACGGCGCAACGGCTCTGTACCTGGCCGCCTCGAACAGCTACCTCCCGGGCGTCAAGGTCATGCTGGAGCATGGCGCCAAGGTCGAGACACGGTACCTCAGGACGGGCCACACGCCCCTGCTCAGGTCCGCATGGCTGGGAGACGTTGACATTGTCCGGGCACTGTTGGACTACAATGCGGATACTGAAGCCAGAACGACGTTCGGCTTCACTGCGCTGCACATTGCCTCGTTGGCTGGAAACCTGGAGGTCGTCACGGTGAGAACCTCAATCTCGTTGGTATTCATTTTGTGATACCATTGTCCGCTCGATTTGTCGAAACACTGCCTTGCACGAAATAGCATATTACTGCCTGCACCAAATCGGTGACTGCTTGCACTAAATCACGTAAACACGATGTCATAACCTCAGTTTTAGGGTTAGGTTTAGTTGTAGGTTGAGTTTTAGGTTTAGGTTGAGTTTTAGGTTTAGGGCAGGTTCAGGTTTAGGGTTTAGAGTTCAGGTTAGGAATATTTTGGAGGGAGATGGTGCAAGCGGTCACCGATTTAGTGCAGAAAAACACCGATTTGGTGCAGCCAGTAATTGTACGCCGCCTTGCACCACCTTTCGCTTATGGTTCCAGCTGCACGTGGTACTTGAGCAAACGCTATCCGTGGCTCATGCTGAGGTTGTTGGGGTGTCGATCATGCAAACCTGTGCTCACAGTGGCCTGGTGTGGGATTTGATGGTCAGAGTGCTGGTTGGCGGTCGCGCTTGTCATTGTGGGTGTGGATTGGCATGAGGCATCAGTAGAAATGCTTATCTGCGTGCTTCCTCTGTGCAGCGTTCCCATCTGACAGTGTAACACTGGAAGACTGATTGAACGGGCGACACGTTCCATAGGGGCGCTCTTGGTGCGCCTTGCGACCAAATGATATATGCCATATTGCCACAACACTGCCCTGTCTGTGCCTCGTCTCAGGGTCGGCGTGGACTCAGCAAATTCTATTGAAAAACTCAGCCATGGTCAGCAACATTACAAACAAAGCGCACGTCCTCTAGCCAGGCAAGGTTGAAAAGGGGGGAGGCACTGTGTGACGTCATTTGCTTGCCGAAATGGCCGTCCTGATATTCCACCATGCTTGCAGGCCCTTCTGAGCCATAGTGCGGACATCCAGGCGGTGTCCTTCGGAAACGGAGAGAACGTGGTGCATCTGGCGGCCTGGCGTGGCCACCTGCAGGTCCTGCGTGTGCTGCTGGGCAAGGGTGCCAATGTCACCGCCGTGGACGTCGCCGACCGCAGCGCACTGCACTATGCTGCGTACTTCCCAGACAATGTTGCAGTCCTGACCCTTCTTGTCGATGACGGGCTGGACGTCAACAAGAAGAACGCATACGGATCCACCCCCGTCCATTTGGCTGCCTGGTCTGGCAACGCGGCCAACGTTGCATTCTTTGTGTCTAAGGTGGGCAGCACAAGGGCGTGCGTGGTGTAGATGGCTGTGCCCATAGTTTGGCGCTCTCGCTGGAATTTGCGTCCTCTTACGCTGAGCAATGTAGTGCATGCTGTACAAAGATGACTGGACGTGACCGACAATATTTCTGTGCAATCTGGCCACGTATCAAGGAAAGCATGGGAAAGCAACTTGGCCGAAAAGGCTCAGAAGACTCAATGGATCCTAATTTAGAGTCAATTTAGTCAACAGCTGTAGTTCTGTTGCAAATAAAAATCCCCATCGTTTCAGCCACTTTTCTTGCAGCCGCATCACGTTTATATATATTGCGTATGACTATTTATTGCCATGAATACAATTATAGTCTGGCATTATTGAAACACTGGAATATTGTTTTGCTGCTCGTGTGGCTATAGTTTTCTCATGCCACATGACACGGCAAGTGAACTTGTCAAATCTTGTCGATCATCGATGCCATGCCGTATGCCAACAAGTTTTGCATTACATGTTGTGTCGATCCGGTGATCTGTTGGGCCTGCACGTGTCTCAAATGCTATCAGGCCTGTCTTATTCGTGCCGCTTCGAACACAATGCGACGTGGGACGTCATCCAGTTATGAATTGTTGCAATCTTCACGTGTACACGAGGATAGGCATCCTTCCGTAGGCTCGCAGTTTCCGTTTAGGATGTGATGTCACTCATGTTTTGTCGATCTGTGTTGACAGGGAGCCGACAAAGATCCCGGCGACATAATCGTCTGTGGGTGCCTGAACGTGGAAATAGACTCGGATTATGAAGGCTGTCCTGAGGGTAACTGCGAAAGTGATGAAGATAAGCAGGAAATAATGCATCTCCTTGGTGCGGCTTCGACCCCTCAGGTTGGTGGAAGTGATGTTTCACAGGCGTTAGGAATTCAAACAGCGCATTTCTCTCCGTACTTCTTGGGAATGCCCTTTGAGGCATGCGCAATACATGGATCTCTTTTTCTGGCATTGATCGGCAGTGTCAGTATAACAAACAGCATAAGGAAATGTGCATCAGCAAAAAATAGATCAGCAAAAAACACGGCACTTGATGGCACTGCAACTCAATGATCAGCAACGACAGGTGCAATGAAGTGTCCTTCGCGTATGACATGCTGAAACGGCAACCCTGGCAGATGTCGGGGACAGTAGCTCCCAGTGCGTTGACCAACATTGCGAGGATATGGGAAATGGCGATGCAGTACGAAAGATGTTCCACTGGCTACTTCGGCATACAGTTCGTCATCCCTATGCCCAACCGAAGCCGCGACAGTGGATACGGTAGTGCGGTGCGTTTTAGACAAGGGACCACAGCGGAAGCCACATTAGAGGAGCCCAGCGAAGCTTGAATTAGGTTGGTCTTTCTGTCGAGGATGCATCCATTCTTTCATTCACACCGCAGCGGAAGAGGAATTTCCCGCAATGGTAGCATGGCAGAGTATCAGTCAGCCATCCCCGTTGGGGGCAAGATTGATGAGCGGTGTCACTCGTCACAGGGCTGAAAGTGGCGGATGCAATGTTTCAATAGTACCCATGGCCCAGGCCGGTTTCAACTGGCCGTGCTTTCCGCGAGGACGCACAAGATTTACCACAGGCTTGTATGGACACCGTGCCACCCGGCACGGGCGTCTGTTCATTTGATTTCGCACTTCGGCGCCGGACATCTGTTAGAATTTTATTCTGATTTTCCATCGCGAGCCGCGTGGGCCCCTGCCTGACTCGACAACCCGTCAACGGCGACGCGCAAGAGCCGGTCCTGTTGCAAGGCGGCGCAGTTCTTTCGACCAATGCTCTGGGCGCGCTGCAGCAATCCAGTCCGCCGTCGCCCCATGGGACAGATCTCGATCGATCAGCTAGCTGCTTGATTGCCTGGCTGAAAATTGGGGAGCTGACGGTGATACGCAAAGTTCGGACAGGGACTGTGTCGCGGGCAGGCATGGCCACGTGCTTGGAGACACAGCCAAGAGAACAGAGTTGCCGAGAGATCGCCAACAGGCACGCCCCTTTGTAGTAATACAGCCATCTGTTAATCATGGGCGAGTCGCTGCCGTATCGACGGCCGGCTCCTTGCTTTGTTGTTTGAAAATTAGTGGTGATGATGATACTGATTGGTTGGTTGACTGCCCTCCCAGACCCTGATCGAGGCGGTGAACGCCAACGACATGGAAGCTGTCCGCAGGCTGCTCGCCGGGGGCGAGGACGTCAACGCCTCCGACGCCAACGGCGACACCCCGCTCATCTTCGCCTCCGCCGCCGGCTTCGAACCGATCGTCGTCGTCCTCCTGGACGCCGGCGCCGACGTCGCCGCGCGCGACTCCCGCGGATTCAACGCCCTCCACTTCGCGGCCATGTTCGGCCGCACGGACACGGTGAACATCTTGATAGGGCGTGGAGCGGTTGTCGACGACCCAGGCGTGCTGGGCTTCACCGCCCTGCACCTGTCGGCTGAGGAGGGCAAGCTGAGGGCCACCAGGGCGCTGCTGGCGGCCGGGGCCGACCCCAACGCCCGGACGCTGAAGACCGGCAGCACGCCGATCGCGCTGGCCGTGGTGGGCAACCACATCGACGTGGTGCGGCAGCTGATCGGGGCGGGAGGGGACGCGACGATCGCCAGCGTGGGCGGCGTGACGACGCTGTTCGACGCGAGTGCCACCGTGGGCTCGGAGCTGATCATGGACCTGCTGATCGAGGAGGTGGGTCAGTGGATTCCTGTGGGCTTGTTCTCCCCGTCGACTCTGGTGAACATGACCAAGTTGATCAGAAGGTACACACGTGTGCAAGGAATGCATGCTGGTAATAATGTTTCCGGCCCAGCCGCTTAGCGTGGCCCCGGAGACTGACGACTGCAAGGAATGTATGTATTCCTGGCACGCGAGCAATACGTGCATTCCTTGCATTCCTCGTGGACCATCGGTGTTCCACGTTCAATGCAAGGAATACGAGTATGGACGCGATGTCGGGGTTTGGCGACGTGTTGACATTGCAGTCTTCTTGCCGAGGCCGGGTGTTTCCAGTCGTGGGGGGTCGGCGTCGAGGCCGCGCCAAATGATGTGGACGGTCAGTGAGTGATTGCTCAATCCCAAAGAAGATAAGCTCGGCGTTCTGTGGCGGACTTGAAAGCATGGCGACTCCGTGCAGCACATTCTGCGGTATTGGTACAGTTAATCAATTGGCATTTCAATTGGTGATTCCTGGCAATGTTGATTATTTGGCAATTTAATTGGCAATTTGCTTGCTTTTTCCTGTCCCATGCTTCCTCCCCTTTTCCGACTCACGTTTCCGTCTTCGCCTGTCGGCGTCCAGGGAGTCGAGGTGAACGCCAGGTCCGACTCGGGCAGCACGGCCGTGGAGTTTGCGGCCTACTACGGCAACAAGGGCGGCGTGGAGCACCTGCTGTCCAAGGGCGCGGATCCCGCCCTGGCCGCCGGCGACGGCGTTCTGGACGAGGTCTGCGGGTGCCTGGAGGACGCCGGCGACACCAGCCTGCGGCAGTGCCCCAGGGGCACGTGCCAGACGCAGTCGGACATCGATGAGATCGACCAGCTGATGAAGGGAGCCGAGCCCGAGGCGTCGCTGTCGGGCTCCGACAGGCCAAGCCCCGCCCAGCGGAGCCCCGAGCCGGGGATGGGCACGGACGTGGAGGACTGCAGCCAGATCTCCGACAGGCTGGCGCGACTGGACTGCGTGTCGTGGAGCGCGCCGACGACCTGATGCGTACTGTGTGTATCGTTCCGCCTCGTCTTCGGAAGCGGGGCGCGGCTGGAGAACAGGGCACGGCTTAAATGAGGCGGGAAGGACATTCATTGCCATCCAGCGTGCTGTGTGGCACAGAGTAATGCAATGGAGCGCTTCGCTTGATGCGTGTACAATAGCTGTACAGTATTTTCGTTCGGGACTGTGCGTGGGACGGTAACCGGACGTCATATTTTGTGGTGGGGTGCCACTGCTCACACTCGGTTTGTTGCACGTCATTCAAAACGATGGTTGCGCTCTCACCGGCGGCATTGCCCGCCGATTTCACATTGTAAGGAACGCTTTTGGACGGCGGCGTTGTGTGCAGTTTTGACAAATGGGCGGGATGGCTCCCAGGACGCTGGCTCACATCGTGCCCCATGGAAAACTGCCGCAGCCAGTCAGCAGCTGCCATTCATTGGCGTTTGTTGATTGAAACCAGAACTAACCAAACTGTGTGTGTTCCGGCTTTCTCTAGCGTGCTGGCTACTGTGCCGGATTTGAAGCAACAGGTATTGCCGAATGTTTTCGACGCCCTAAAAGAGTGAGACTGCGGCAAACATTCTGACAGTGGATTCCCCAGGAATCACAGACTGCAATCATCTCTTTGTGGGCATTGGGCGAATCGAGATTCGAAGGACTGAAATTCAGAGCATAGCAACTGCTTGTAAAGAGCGTGCAGTCAGGTGCTTCGCAACTTAGCAAGCGTCAGAACCCAAAGGTCGATAGCTGCAGATATTCTGGCATTCCTGTGTTCATGCCAAATGCCCAGTAAGATGACGTCTGACATCCAGGATGACGTCCATTCCCGTGCTTTCCTCCGTCCCGCACAGCAACACACCAAAGTGCCTTGCAGAATGTACATCACCATTGTTGGAGGATCGTTGGTAATAATCCTGGGCTCGTACTGAGCCATGCGCCATCTTGGACCACCAACAACCTGGGTTCCCAAGCCACAATGCGAGAAGGGTGCCACAGAATGCCACCTGCCACAAGATCCAAAATCCTGCGTATGCCTCTCGCAGCAGTCTTTCCCACTTCGACAGCAAGCTTCGTCTTGCAGGAACACTGCGCTGAGTCGGCTGTTTAATCTTCACTGGGCACCTGGGCAGCTGCTGGCTCCGTCTTATCAGACGATGGGGCTTCCTCAGGGGCCTGGTAGTTGGTGCCAACAGGCTGGGCCGTCGCAGACACTTCCTGATAGCTTGCAGCAGGTGTGGTAGGGGCGTCAGGGGCAGCAGGTGTAGCGGCTGTAGCAGGTGCAGCAGGTGTAGCGGCTGCAGCAGGTGTAGCAGCTGCAGCAGGTGCAGCAGGTGTAGCAGCTGCAGCAGGTGCAGCAGGTGCAGCAGGTGCAGCAGGTGCAGCAGGTGCAGCAGGTGCAGCGGCTACAGCAGGTGCAGCAGGTGTAGCGGCTGCAGCAGGTGCAGCAGGTGCAGCAGGTGCAGTGGGCAGGTTGGAAGGTGCCGGCGGCATCATAGGTGGAGGCTGCTGAGGAACCTGGCCAGGCTGCGTTGGCTGTGTTTGTGCCTGCATAGTCAGTTCGCTCATCTTCATCATCACTTTCATAACCTCTGGATCGTTCATGTACTTGGACATATTCTGTGGGTTGCTGTTCATGTCCATCACCGCCTCCATCACGTTGGGTTTCTGCAACAGGGCCATCAGCTCGGGTTCACCCATCAATTTCTGCATCAGGACATCAGGGCTGATATTCATGTCCTGCAGTTGCGCCTTCAGTTGGGGGTCGTTCACAGATCCCTGGAACTCCCGCATCTTGGCCATCATGTCTGGCGTAAACATGGTCTTCATTTGCTCCTTCACCACAGGGTTGGACAGGACTGCATCCAACATCGCTGGGTCACGCATCTGCTCTGGCAGGAACGGAGCCAGGGACTCACGCATTGTGGGGTCCTTCAACATGCTGAACAACCACTCCACGTTTTCATCGTCAGTGGCAGTCCCACCTGTGTGGAAAGCAAACGAAACAATTTATGAGGTACTATTACTAATCATATCCTCTCGAGATGAAAGGGTCTTGGATTCTGTTGTCTTGCCAAAAGCAACAAAATGGAAATAACAAGTCCAGACAGCCATGTGTGGGGCGGCAACATGGTGTGTGGGTGGCGTTCCATAATCTGACACTGTGTCAGCATGTGGGCAGTCATGTTCCTCACAGCATGTTTCCTTTGGGCCCTTTGTCCACAAAGCCATAGGCCATCAGGCCCATTCTCAAGGGGTTTGTGCTGCAAGACGTGGTTTATGGAATTACAAAAGGCCTTGTTGGCACAAGGCAAGAAAGTGCAAGCCACATCACAAGTCGGCCCTGACAGCATCGGCACTTCCTATTGCACTTGACGGGCTCTTTGCTGTCACATGATATCTTGGAACAAATAACCAAATGTGCATCAGTGAACAGCACCTGACATCGCAAGCAGGTAAAAGGGCAGTGTTTTCTACCACCAAGACAAGTGGAGTTAGAAAGAACTTGCACCAGAAGCCCCACCTGTGCCTGTGTTTGCCTGTGGAGCGCCTACATCGGAAAAGAAGCTGCCTCCTGATGGGGAGGGCTGTGATACTGGGGTTGGCGGCGCAGCAGTGGAAGCAGGGGTGGATGCTCCAGCTGATGCTGCCCCCAATCCCGCTGGGTCGAAGGCAGGCTGAGTTGTTGTGGCAGTGGCAGGCTGAGAGGGCGGCACATTCCACGCCTGGCTTCCTGTTGGTGTAGCAGTTGACGTCGAAGCCGCTTGTGATGATTGGGCACCATCTGCAGCAACAGGAGATGCATATGTGTCCACCGGAGGAGGGCCCATCCCAGGAAAGCCAGCACCAGGGTTGGCAAAGGGGTTTGGCTGTCCGGCTCCAGGCCCCCCAGGTGCATTGGCCATCGAGTTGGCCATCTGCTTGAACATCATCTCCGTCATCGCATCCTTTGGACTCCGTATAAAATTCATCACCTTGTTGAAGACAGTGGCCAACAGGACACCCACTCCTATCCATACCCACGGTGGCAGTCCAGAGGGCGCCTGCACAGCTGGGGGAGGCGCAATTGGGTACTGCGGCGGTCCTCCTGGGAGGCCTTGGTAGGTGCCAAAATCGGTTCCATAGTTGGGTGCGGCAGTGGTGGGTTCACTGGCCGTGGGCCCGCTCCCTGATGCGGCTCTTGATACCAGGATGGGGCGTCGGAAACTGCGTGAGGCTGGCCTCTGAGGACAGAAAACGGCTTGTGTCCTGGGCAAGCGAGTGCATGCGGACCATCTTGCCGCATCAGGTGCCCTGGGCCGCAAAGAACTGGGCCCAACACATCGGGTTGTGGAAAGCCGACAGCTGGACTGCATCTGAAGGACTGGCCGTGAGCGTCCACGGGTAGTTACAGCGCTGGGTGGAGCTGCAGGACACCCAGGCTGATTCAGATCAGCTAGGAGAGAAATGGTGGCGGCGATTGGGCAGGGCCCATGACACTTCTCTCAGCACTATACCCATATTGTCCTCTTCAGCAGCGAGGAAATTTGCTGAGCAAGGTTTGTCGCTCCGCATGCCGAGGCGCAATCAAAGAAAAACGGCGGCACAACAATGCACATAGACGGTGAAGCGAGAAATGAGTCCGCATGCCGGTGTCCTCTCCATTCCCGGCGACGTCCCTCACCAAGAATCAAACAACAAGGCACTAGCAGGAATGCTTCAGACAGATGCATGGCCACAATGTGCACTGCGCATACCACAAGCGCGCGGATAATCTCGGCCCCAGCCCAGCGATCGCCCAATACAGGAGTGGGCAACATCCGGAAAGAAGGGGGGCCACCCCCTCCAACACTGCACGTAGAACTGCGCAACCGCATCGCCTCAGTGGTGGTAGGCATCGAGGCGGACTCGCACACGACGGGGCTGGGCAACCGGGCAGCAATTCGCGGGCGCCGCCCCCTCCCTGGCCTTGCACGCATGGGCCCCTTCAACCGGAGGGTCACCCCACCTGCGGCAGCGGCGGCGCGCGCCCGTCCTCGCGCGCCAGCAGCACAGTTGAGCCGTGCGTTCTCCTCGCCGTGCGACTTTTCCGGGCGGCCGTGCCCCGGAATACAAGCCCCCCGAGAAAGTCTATTTCGATTTCGGGGGCAGGCCGCCAGCCTATCGCCTATTGCCCTGGCCCCAGATGTGGCATCAATGGCGATGCAGATTGACCATTCTGTCGGTTGTTCGTCTGGTCTTGTTTCCGTCCGGGGACACCGCGGCGTCCATGCCGTGGCCGCTGGCACGGCCGTCTGGGGGCCGTGAGCGACCGGAGCCATGCGGAAGAAGCCCAGGCCGCGGAGGCTGCGGAATCCGTGGGAGGATGCCGACGTCTCTCGGCAGGTGCGCCCCAAGTTGCGGTCGCCTCCGGGAACCCTGACGGTGGACCAGGTTGGGCTCGTCCGCGACGAAGTTCCGTCGCGCCCGCACCGCGGTTCGAGTCCCGTTCGCCAGCCCGTTTTCGCGGAGACTGCTTTTCTGAAGTCTGCGATGCGACTGATCCTCGCCGTCTGGCGCAGCTTCTTCGCAAGGCCAAATCCGCAAGGGTGTGTTTTGTTGGGTGGGGCCACGGCGAAACCGCCCGTTTGCGGCCGGGCTTGCTGACAAGCTGGTCGCCCAGCGTCTTCCGGCGGCCTTCTAGCCTCGATCGACCGCTATGCCGCCCTCGCTGTCTGGCCTGATGCACTTGCCGAACCCTTGGCGGCCAGCAGCCAGCCAGGTATTCATCAACCGTCCGCGGCGCCTTACCAGTCGATCGGTGATTCTTGCAGGCGGGGACCAGCGCAGAGGCTGGGCGAGATGCCGATGTGGCTGGCGGGAGTGGGCAGGCGGCCAGCAGCGGCTCCGGCCCTGAGTGGTGCGGAGATTACGTGCTGGGACCCTTGGAGGAGGGTGTGACAGGGACCGGCAGGCGCGCGTTCAGGGCGGTCCACAGGCATCACGGGCACACAGTCCTGCTGGAGCAGCTTCCGGGCCTGCCGGAGCTGCACCAGAATCTGGACCGCGCCTACGAGGCCCTGCAAGCCCTGATTCGGAGGCTGCGCCACACGCGCCACCAGAACGTGCGCAACGTGCTGGATTGCTTCTGTGCGGGCGGGACGATCGTCGTGTGCCACGAGTGGGAGGGCGGCGCGCCCTTGGGCGAGTTCGCCAGCACGTACGGGCCCCTGGAAGAGCGGCTGGCCGGAAAATTCATCCTCCAAACGCTGGAGGGCCTCAAGTGCCTGCACAGGCTGGGGCACCACCCCCGCGTGGATGCCTCCTCTGTGGTGGTGGTCTCGGGCCAGGCCAAGGTGGCCGCCGCCGTCGCGGACCTCCTGCCCGGGGACGGCGCCAGACAGGCCAGCGAGGCAAGCCTTCGGGGCCTAGCCCTTGCGCTTTTGAACGACGGGATGTCGCAGGACGCCAAGGACTTTGCCCGGCTGTGCGAGAAGGGCGCTGGGCTGCAGGAGCTGTCGGGCTGCGCTTTCCTCGATCGTGCCTCGCTTCGTGGGCGGCGGGGGCTGAAGAGGCAGCCGGCGGAGCGTGTGTCGGGGCTGGGGCCCTTGTTGAAGAGGCCGAAATGGACGGTGGGCAGCAACTGCGCCTCGGAAGCGAACACGACGGGCACCAGCGAACGGGCCGGCGGTGCGGCGCCCTGTGCAGGGCTGGCTGCGGGGGAGTGCCGCAGTGGGCAGGCTGGCGACACGAGTGCGTCATCGAAGCACTGCACGTCACCCACCCTGGCCTCGCGTGGGCCTGTGCGGATTGTCGTGGAAGAGGAGGACAGGCCAGCCACGAGTGAGCCCCGTGAGATCTGTGAGGAAAACCATGTGTCTGAGGTGAGGGAGGGAGCGGTGGTGGCGTCCACTGAGTAAGTGTGTTTGCATGAATATGGCTTCTCTGTTCTCGCGTGCTTTAAGAGGTGTCCGTGTCGTAAGGGTCTCGTGAATGTGGGTTGAGAAAGAAATGGCTGGTGTGAGGATGCTTCCCTTTCTGTGATAGGTTTGGAGCTGTGAAATTCATTTGTTCTCAGCGGTTTAGAGAGTAGAAGTTGGAACACACACAGCTCCAAAGCTACAAAGTCCAGCCAGTGTCCCATCCACTTCCTCAGCGTTCCCAACTTCTAGCAGGTCCCCAGGTGTTCCCAGGTGTCCGCAGGTGGTCGTCTGCATTTTTCGCTGATGCAAAGCATTTAGACCAATACTTCCTCAAGGCTTTGCCGTGCATGCTCCCAACAGTGGCGCATTTGTTTGAGCACACTGGCCACTGACTTTGGATGGTAATGCTCAGGATTTGTCAAGGGATGACTTGGGAGGTCCAGACTGGCCAGGACCTGGGTCATCCAGAGCGATGGAGGGTCATAGACAGGAATTTTTGGATGGCCAAATATACAGCTGTGGAATGTGGGAGGAGCAAGAAGAGCGAAGGGAACAAGTAGGACAAGAGGAGCATCGGGGCCAAAATGAGGGGGGAGAGGAAGAGCGAGAGAAGCAGCAGGGACTGCCTGGGCAACAAAAAGAAACAGGAATGGGACAGACAGCAGTGTCATGCTTGGCAGAGGCACTGGGGGAGGAAAGAGATGCATGTTTAGCAGCAGGCGCGGGGACAGTTCCAGGGGTGTGCACTGCTGGTGCTGAAGGATCAGGAACAGACAGGGTGACAGTGTCGGAGGGAGTGTGCACAGCAGGCACTGCGCAACTTGCATGCTCAAGTGACTGCATTGAGCTGTGCTCTTCAAGTTCCAGCGATGATCTTGAGGCAGGTTCGGCCAGCCCATGCTCTGCACAGCAACCTTGCAGCTCTGTGGCTGTGGTAGGCAGTGGGGTCATCTCTAAACCTGGACTGCCACCGCGACCAGGAGTAGTGTTGAAGGGGATGGCCAGTTGCAGTCAGGTGACGGAATAACCAGTTCATTTTCTGTCGTCAACCTCACAAGGGGTGTAGCACAGTGTCAGCATAAAGTTTAAAGTCAACTGTACAGAACAGAGCAGCTCACAGCGAAACGATGGAGAATGGAATGCGCTACTGTACGCTCCAGAACCAGCGTCAATATGGCACAAACATGTGCCCTGATTTTTCTGCCCTTATTGTCTTGCATTCTGGGATTTGGGGGGGGGGGGGTAGAGGCAACAATGGGATGTGCCAGTGCAGGATATTGGTATGTGTGAAACATTGCTCATTTGTATTGTTTTGTTAATTGAATTGCACCTGACTTGGAGTGCAAGGAATATTACCTCAATTCCAAGTGTCATGCTGGCCAGTGTTGAACCTTCAGGAACAGGCCAAGAGGACAGAAGAAATGAAGTTGTCATATGTCAGCAGCCACAAATATGTTGCATGGTTGTAAAGAGAAGAAAAACACACATGTTGCACTGCATGGACCTCGAACTTTAGCACGACCATTCTGTGCAACTGCCCACAAAATGATCTAGATGCAGTTTGTCAGCAATTGCAACAATATCTTTTGATTTTGCATCCCCCAGGGCGATGGGGAAGGGTGCAGCACTTGCCCAGATCATGCAAAACCTGGGCGACCACGACGGAAAGCCAAGCAGGTGGGGAGCGACCACCTCATGGCCAAGCAATTGGACGAGAAGCTGAATAAAAGGGGGACCAGCTCATTCTGCCTCAACAAACATAGGCAACCTGGCGCCGAAGCCCAGTGCATCATCGAACTCACAAGCCAGCGAAAGGAACAGATGTACAAGGGAGCAATCTTGTGAGGAATGGATCTGCCATTCACGCCTGGATGTCAATTATGTAATGCCATGATGTGGATATGTGTACATGAACAACAGCAAAGTTAGAAGCGAAATTCTAGTGTTTGGAGTTCGCAGGAGGCACCATTTTACCATTTGGCAAGTTTTCGTGAGTACATTGTCTTTTCGTACCATAAGACTGCTCGTTCTTGTATGTGCAAGTTTCCACACTGTGTGGCTTGTCAGACATGGAGGCACTGTTGTCATGTCCAGAATGGAAAGAACTTGTTGTATTTGCGCTTGTACTTGTGCTTGTGCCTCTACCTGTACCTGCACGTTGTTGGCATTCTTCTAGCCAAATTTGCGTCAGTTTGTAATAATGCACTGCCACAACAGCACAGTTCTCAACAATCTGTCTTCAGTGAGTTGATCGCTAGGAAATGCGCGTAGCATGAAATTACCCGTGGACCTGCATAGGACAGAACATGGGCATTCACAAGTGTTGCGCTTTCCACCAGTTTGCCTAAAAGGTGGTGTTCACAATCAGCAAGTCCTTTGTATACCCAACAATGCCAGCAATGCTGATTGCGTATGGAGAAGTGCAAGGTTTGTAACACATTTGGCTGGGAGGTTGTTCACCTCATTTGATGATTTGGTATTGCAGGGCTGAAAGAAATGTCCTCATAGAGCCAAATGCGCCCGGCGGAAGGCTGGACTTTGAATATACGATACTCCTGGTGGAGAGTCACAGACCCCTGAACAGTAGCATCAAAAAGGGCACATGCAAGAGAGTGCTACGGGAGGGCTGTTCCTACCAAGTGTGGGCTGGGCCACTGCCAGAGAAAGGGAAGGGGTGGGGTGTCATTGCCATGGAACGCATCCCCTCTGGCCACTGTGTATTTGAGTATGCAGGTATATAACTCAAGCTCTTTGTGATTAGCCATTTTGTCTGTGATTTGGCTCAGCTGTCAGCTTCCCATCATGTGTAGATTGTCAGCATCACGTTGTGCTATGCCAGAATAAGTGTCATGTTTTGGGTGCCCAAGAAAGGATGGCCATGGAGTGTGTATCCATGGTGTGGCCAATTTACATCCTGAACAATGCATGGACACATCCTTGCCATGCGTATGGGTTATTGCACTTATGATATATGGTGCATTCAGAAGAGCTTTGTCTTTTGTGTTATTTGGTCAGCCTTGGATGAGTGATGTTTCGCAATTGCTCATGATCATGCAGATTGTCGGTGCCATCGTTTGCTCCCTTTATGAGCTGGATTGCATGTTGGCTTGCATGGTTTCAGCCTGTTTCTCAAGCATTCACCCCTTGTTGTTCTAGCTGTTGCTGCCATTGCTGCCATTGCTGTTGCTTTTGCTGCATCTTTACTTCGACAATGACCCTAACGCTAGTAGAACCGAGAACTAAATTTTGGTACTGAGAACAGGCCATAAACACCCAAGAAAGCTGCCAACACTGACACAAAACCTCACACGGAAAAGTTCCAGAAACATGCTATGAATGCTCAAAATCAGCCCGTGGATATGCATGCCACAGTGGCCGAAATAGGGGCTGATTCATCACATTTTGCCCCCAAGCCTGCATGCTGTAAACATTCCGAGCTTTTGAAGCAGCTGCTACTCCTGTTGCAGCAATGCCATCATAGCCCCCAAATATCATCGACGCTTCCTAAACTTCGTTGTCTCCACGTTGGACATCCTTCAAGGCTGCATGTGCAAGTTGTGTCGAGCCTCCAGCCAAGAGGTGCAAGAATTTGAGGGGGTTGAATGCGCCTAAATGATTGCGCTGTGTTTATCACACTGATGACATACTGGCGAAATATGTGGTGTGGCTCTCAAGTCTACGTTCTTCAATGTGAAGCGCAAGGCATATATTCGTTATATCTGGTGTAGCCTGTGTCCTAGCACTGCTGTCCTCGTATAGCTTGGAACGGGAGTGCGTGGGGATTACCCCGCTTTTTAGAAGGGCAAACACAAACTGCTCTCATGATGAAATGAGATTATGGGAAAGTGAGCTTGTGCTCCTGTTTGATGCGCAACGATTCTTGTTTCAGGCGATCTGCAGACCGAAGAGGAGATGCAGAAGAGGGCTGGGGAAGTGCAGCATACTAAATACATATATGACTTTGACTACCCAGACCGCACAGACATTCAGAGCCTTACAACCTCCAGGAGGGGTCAACTGACGTGCATTGATGCCTGTGCAAAGGGAAACGTCAGTCGATTTGTCAACCACAGCTGCGACCCATGGTAAATTGGTTTTCAGTGTGACTGATCATCCATGCGGAGTATCTAGCTCAACATCAGAAACATGTTATCAGCTGCCTGGTTGCACAACAAAGCAGGGGGGCATAATCCATCTCAGAAATTTGTGAGCTTCTTACTAGAACAATTGGAGCATTGTTCGTGCCCATTGCTGCGGAAGCCTAGATGTGGAATTTGGACAACAAGTGAAGAGGTGTTTGTACTGCTCCCCTGCAGCATGGATGTCAAGGAGATGACGCCCGACATGGTGAAGCTTTGCAAAAAGGAGGGTGGTGTCCCAAGAATCGTCTTCCAGACTCTGTGTGACATCGAACCGGGACAGGAGCTCACTGTCGATTACTTTCCAGGTCTGACCAGGGAACAATTGGCGTCCTATGAAGACAAGACCCTGTGTCTGTGTCGCTCAAGCAGATGTAGGGGCTGGGTGGTGACTATGGATCCAGAAGGGAAGGACGATGAAAGTGACACCCCCGATTCGGCGCCATCCAGGCTTGCCACATAGTGTAGCACGCATTTTGTTGTAGAATTGTAGTGAGCAAGAGAGACGACGTTGATTGCAATGCGTATAGAAAAGATCACGTTCCAACGCATACTTGATAGTACTTGATGTTGACTGAAGACCACCTGCTTCTATTGTTGCTTTAATTATTCGAAACCAAGAGGACCAGTGGACACTGGAGAATGTTTATTGGGGTGCGTAGGTGGCAAATGTCAATCGCCTAGTCTGTTGATATTGATGCTCTAGATAGCCATTCCTTCATGCCAGATGTGCGGCAGAAAATCGTGGGAAATTCAAGGCTGGGGCTGGAGGATACAACCATGACACACCTTCTAACCTGGACCCAACATTACTCTGATGGGCGGGATTAGCGAGTGAGAAACAAGATACGAGTGGAAGCGCAGGAGGAGACTAATTGCTCTCCGCCACTCGCCCTAATAAGAGCGTTTGTATCTTCTTCTCTTTATTGCTTGCGTAATGCTGGCCTGTCCAGTCCATCCCATGCCAGGTGTTTACCATAGAGACCCCTCGTCTGCCTCAATAACAAGCGACCGCCCAGAACAACGGCGGTCTTTACGAAGCGACACGAACGGTGTTCTTTTGTGTGTCTGCCTTCGAAAAATGGTTCCCGGGCAGTGCGTTCCTTATTATTCAGCCTTGCCGGACATAGTTCGAGTTTAGGCTGCTTTTTCAAAAGTCTGCGGGACACCTTGTCTGAGTTGAGGTGCTTTGGGCCGAAGTTTGCCTGACGCAACTTTGCAAATGGAACGTGGGCTTGGAGTGATAGCCTCTGCATTGCACCATGTGCAACAGGCCACTCTGCTAGTGCACCCAACAAGGGGCAAACGTTTGGGGAGCCCCACTGGGAACCACTGCTGGCGCATGTAACTTCCCCAAAACAAGTGCGATCGACGCTGTGGAGGCTTGTTGGGCAACAGCCACCCCAATGGCTGTGGTCATGGGCGGCAACGGCATGTGACGGCCAAATGCTTGTTGGGGATTGCCATTGCGGTCACCTGATCTGGTCTGACAGGGCACGATGCTCATGGCCTGGGAACTTTGGGAGTGGCAAGAGCACCATAGATGGCCGCCATATGGTGGATGGCGATGGCCATTTCGCTGGAAAAGTCAACACCATATTCGTGACCAGTGCGGAATTGGTGGCCTCAAGGCTGGTGCAAAAGTTGCACCACTGCAAAAAGTGTGCGGCTTGGCAACATTGCAAGATGGGAAGCTGCCAATCGCATGATGTACCACAATGAAGTGGCACACTGCCATCCGCCATGTAGCTGTACCGCTCATAACTATGTGGGTGCCAAGTACCAAGGCGCAGATTTGCCACGTTGCGTGTCCAAATTGGGGCCAGTTTGCAGTTTCTTGCCAGGCATTGTCCGATGCCGGGCATTTTTCAGTATTTTCTGAAAGACAAATTGTCCAAGCTGGGGTCCCTTTGGCGTTTCGAGCCGGTCGCCTGAAACCTAATTCGGACAAGAAGTGGCAATTCCCCTTCCCCCCCACACATACACACACACCACCAAAAGGAACTGGGGACTCCCCCAGCATTGCGCAAGCCGTGGGAATACTGTAGCTACAACTGCTCTCAGGTACTGTATTCGGCTAGTGCATCAGAAAAGGCGAACGTGGAAGGCAATGGTAGTCTTGAAATAGAGCAGCTGAAGCTGGCGGAAGTCCCGGCTAAGGCCGGGGCGTTGGCGCCAAAACATCATGTCCCCAGCCAACGGCGCTCCACAGGCAGGCGCTCCGCGGGCAACACCGGAATATGCCACGGCGCGTTTCGGCGGCGTAGCGGCAGCGATGCCGGGGGATGCAGCCCCGATGGGGCAAGGCGCGCGGGGCACGGGCGCCAGCGACTTCAGGCAGCGCCTCTACGAGCAGCTGAAGAGCACGGGGGTGGTGAACAAGCTGAAGGTGCGGCTAAGCCCCTCGTTTCCAGTTGCCTCGAAAGGCAAAGAGGAGCCCCTGATGGCGGTGACAGGAACACATGCATACAAAACTTTTGTTTGTCGCCGAATCTTTCACTCGCTTCTCGGTTCGCCACACAATTGCGCCTCACGCCGACGGTGGGCGAAGGTGACGGAGAGGAATGAAAAGCTGAGCCGAAGGCGTGGCGGGGCTGCGGCTAACGGCCGAGATACTCAAGGACGGGGACTGGCGTGAAGATTGGCTGCGTAAGGAACAAACGGTGACGCAGCATGCAATGGCATCACTCCACCTAACCAGGAATGTTGGTTGGGCTCCTTTCCACACCGTGGAATATGATGCAGATGTTTGAGAGCGCAACGGGGTTGCGTGCGAGACGGGGCAGCGCGAGCGGCAAGAATGGGACTGGCGGTGCGAGCAGTCAAAAGCGGTGTCTGGCATTGTCCAAGCTGCGTCGTGACGTCAAATGCCATATCTCGAATCTCGGAGGAGTTGGAGCGCGTGCAGCGCAACTTTGGACTTTCACACACCCCTTCCACGCTCACGTTTGGTTGTGGGGAATCCTGATGTGGGGCGATGGAAGGGCCCATTGGGCCACACCATAAGGTGGCAGACCTGCTTCGGCATCCGAGGCACGTGGGTGACGTCTGACATCGCGGGATGAGACTGGAAGCAAACGCAAACCTGGCTTCTGCAACTGGCGACAGCCAGCTTCTGACTGACAGCAGAATTTACGACAGCCGGCTTCTGCAACAGGCGATTTACAGCTCCTGGGGTGCACATTGGCAGTCAAGCCATAGCAAGGCAGCGTATTGTTCACGTTGCACTCAGGAGAATTCTGCATCAGCTTCCACAGTATCGAAAAAAATTGCTCGAATTCTTGTTCGGGATTGCGGTGCCCATTGTTTTCGGGGAAAAAGAGGCATCTGCACCGCAGCAGCTTTTGTACCTGTTTCCACGTTCTGCTGCTGGGCAGCACATGGGGCTATGATCATGGGATATGACGCAAGCACCAGCTGGTTTTGGTTCAGGTCATCACCGTTGTTTCTCAAGGCTTTTTGACAACTGCGCACCATGGAATTGCACCGGCACCACAGCAGCTTGGATAACCCAGCATGGTGGTACTGTTCCACCTCACTTGCCCAGCTTGGCTTGGAGAAGGGCAACCCTTCCCTGCCTTTGGCACAGAGCCGCCAGGGAAGCTCAAAAGCGTGAAAATTAGTTTAACTTTGGCTGCAGAGCTTCTAGAGAGCTTCTAGAGAGCTTCTAGAGCTTCTAGATGTAACGTTGAGGGCAATGTGCACGTGAACTTGTGGACATCAGCTCGTTGCAGGGGCAAGGTCTGTGTCTGGTCGTTTTCAGGCAGAACTAATGAATTGATGTGTGCTGCCTCTGTGCGTGCAGACTCAGCTGCGGTCACAACTGCTGACACATCTCCAGAGGCAGCAAACAGCATGCATCACTCACTCCCAGACCTACAGGCCAGCAACACTGGCAGAGAAGGCCATGCACTGCATCGTTGCTGAGTACCTGTCATCTATTCATTGCCATTATACGCTTTCCGTGTTCAGTTCGGAAACTGGTGTTGGTGAGAAGGACACGTCATTCTCCTGGCCAGAGCTTCTCCAGATTTTTGGTGTTCCGGAAGGCAATGCCCTTTGGATGGCGGTGATGAATGGCTTCAAGGTCAAGCAGCAAGTTCAAGATTGCATTTTGGACGAAAGGAGTGAGGAGGGCATCCATTGCACGCAATTGTGAACAAGGATACAGTCATCTTGGCATTCTTCCCACTGCACTCAAAGCATAGGACAGCATCAGTTTGCTGCATGCAAGGACCTCACAATGCTTAGAAGCCACAACTTCCCAACCAGCGCATCGTAACAGCACACAGGCTGCACATGTCCTCAGAACGGACAGGAAAACTTGGTGCACGATGGGTGGCCCCAGCCCTTCAGCGAGAATGTTGTGAAGAAAAAGTTGCAAACATCTCCATGTGGCCCAGAAGCAATACACGTAGGAACAGCAAGGAGTAAGGCAGATTGAAATGCCTGTCTAATTGTGCTGCCTGGAGATTCTTCTGTTATCCACCTGCAAACCTGACTATAGGCAATATTAGGAGCATGGTGCGTTGATCTTGGTAGCTGGGTGTCTGTTGTGAGCAATGTGAGCTTGCGAAAATGGACAAAATCAACAAAAATGGTCGCGGAAAGTGAATTACTCCCCAAACTAGCTCATAGCAGGGCATTGTCTTTGCTACATTGTTATTGTGGGGGAGTGAGAGCGGAACTGGGGTTGGGGGTTTGAATGGGAAAGGCGACGATGGTTTTGCTCCCCAAACATGTTTGCTGTACTCTGGAGATTCAAACAGCTCATCTAAGTGTGCGCATACCCTTCTTTCCGTTTGCAAGGCTACTCAGATCTAATGTCTCAATGAAAATTCAACTATAGGAAATGACCTGACAAACTCACAAGTGACTCCCGATGTTTCTGGACACCAAATCTGCTACAATTGAACAGTGCTTTCGATGCTCTGCAGATTGTGTCCATGCGAGCTTCTTGGCAAGAACTCTGGGCGCGATGCAGACTTTGTGCAGCCCAAAACAAGCAACGAAAAAAATGCAACATGCCCACACTGCCCCTATGTTGCCTGGCAGTTTGCTGTGTGGAGAGGAACAAGGTGTAGGCTGTGCTGTTGCGGAGTTCAGGGCATCAATGAAACAAGTTGGCAACCAAGCAGTTGAAGGCCAGCAGGTGCTCAGCAAAACGATAGAATCAGGGCCTGATGTGCATGCAGCTATTGGTGTGCTTGTTAACATTTCCACGCTTTGCTTCATGCCTGTCGCATGCCTTCCACTTCGCTTTCTCCAAACACCCAATGCAATTTTGCTTTGCCAGTAGATTAAATAGAAAAAGATTCTGAGACCATTGCAGCCTTAGAAAGGAGGAAAAAATAATAATGTATGCCCAGTTACACATGCTTGGGAGAGAATAGGGCTAGGCTGGCTAGGAGTGGAGTGGAGTGATATAGCAGCAACCGATCAGGCCAGGTGGGCATCACTTTTAACACCAGGCATGTGGAAGGCATGAGGCAGAGCAGCATGAAAGGACCGGCACTGAGACAGCTGGCAGTTTGGTTGATATTGATGGATGCACATTTTCAAGCTTTAGGACACAATGCGGGTTTGCACAAAGATGACCTCAGCGGGCGCAAGGGCTCTCCTTCATCAGAGCTGACAAATGCTATGGAAGCAGAGGTGCCTTGGATATGTTCAGGTGCATGCAATCCAAGAAAAGGCATTCTCACTGGCACAAGGTGTCATTTTGTTAATTCTGAATCTTGGTCTTTTAGGAGTTGCTGTTTGCATCACCTTGCAATTTGCCAATCACTACCATTGACGTGCAACAGCTGTGTTTTGCACTCAGCAGAATGCAGCCAAGTGACTGACCGGATGTTAATGTGTCCAGCTTGGGTGCAATCACAACGATGTGGATGCTGCTACTGCTGGTGCAGCTGAGCACATTGCATTGACGACAGAACTGGAGGCACAGCGCAAGCACATGAATCAACTCCGCTGCTGCCATATTGCTGAACTGGAGGACAGGGAGCAGCGTGCAGCGGACCGTATCGCAAGTCAACGACACGGCCTGGAGCGACTGGCATACGAGCACCGGCAGCGTATCCTGAGGGAAGAGGAGCACATCAAAAAGAGGCGCGAGGACCTTGAGGGGGAGCTCAAAACCAGGCAGGTGGGCCATGGTGAATTGGATTTGCAGCCAGTGACATGAAACTTCTTTGCGTGCTGCATGCGGACGGGGCTTGATCGGACACCAATCAGTTGGCGATGTTTGCATCAGTTGTGTGATGTCCCAAACTGCTAATATGATCCCTGACATTGTAAAGACAGCTGGCTTCATTATATGGTGAATTATTTAACTCATATTGTGAGGTGTGCTCTTGGACAGAATGCAAGTGAACATACTTTCCAACGCTGCTTGCCACCAGGTGCAAGCACTTGCCCAAGAGTTCATCTTTAGCAAGGCTGTCGTGGATGAGCTGCACATGTGATGTGCAACAGAGCCTTGCTCTGCACAAGGCTTCTGTCTTGCACCAGGAGCATTAATACTGTACTGTTGCCAAAACAGTATTGTGCCAGTACAGTACTGTGCTGGTTTTTGATCTTGCCTTGCTCATGGCAACAGATGGCTTTCTGTACAATTTCATGCACAGCAGTGGCAACAGATTGCCAAACTATGCACCCTAATGTGGAGCTTGCATGTTGCCATTTTTGCTGATCTGATTACCTGGCTGGTGAACTCACAGACCTGGCATGTCCCTGTGCACCATTAACATATCTCCTTTGTGTTTGCAGCCTCGCTCTTATCCCCTGAAACCAGGGACCAGCACTGTACTTCTTCTAATCAGAAGATCTTGACCATGGCATGGAGTCTGCAACTGTGGCTAGCCAATGAATGGTGTGCCTGTGTCTGACTTCCACTTCTGTGACAGGAAGCTATCCGGCTACATGAGCAGCAAGTCTTGGAACGAGAACGCCGCATTCTGTTGCAGGAACAGGAGCTGAACCGGAGGTGGGTGGAAAGCGGCAGATCACAGGGTCAGAGCTGCCTGGGAGTGCGGCACAAGGTGGAGGAGGAGCTTGTCCATCAGCTGGACCAAGTTGCAGCCGACAAAGTCCAGCTTGAGGTGCTGTGCTTTGCAGCCCTGAATCTGAAACGTCAGTGGTGCATGGCTCTCACGGAAATTGATGGTGAAATCTGTCAAGAACTCAATATGGAAATCAGCATACTTCGTTTAGATGATTGGCACTTCACTTGGCTGAATTGCTTGATTGGCATTGATGCACGTCTCCTGGCAGTGATGGGGAATGTATGAAATGGCAACAAATGACTATGCATATCTTACCTGGTTTGGTTTGTGTCGTTGTTCTTGATGCATGCCAATTCCAGAAACGGGTGGTGCTATCTTGAATGTTGCAAAGCTGTTCCCTTATTGGTGGCTGCTGTTTCCAATCAGCATGTGTTTCCTGCAAGACCAACTATATGCAGAATGTTTGTGACTGGTGGCCATCCTGTGACCATGCTGGTTTTGTATGTGGTTGACACAATGTGAACATGTTCTGATCAGCGCGACCCTTGTACCACCTAAAGACTCGTTCGACTAGTTCTATTCACACACTGGGCCATTGTGCCTTCAAAGCAGTGACAGAGGCACACTCCAAACCAAAATACTTGTGTGCTCCTCAATGGTTCAATTCCCAGCATTTCGTGCTTTGTTTGAGCAATGCCCAGCACATGTCTGTGCAGCAGAACGTGACAGCAATGGTAAGCGGCTTCAAATGTGCGCAAACCATAAGAAAGAAACTCAATTACTTCCGTCCCATATTAGATGTCCTCTGTTTTTTGGTGCATTATTTCTCCATCAAAGAGACTTTGTTTTTAATGAAATTTTGTCCAAAGCTGTGTTTGTGAGTTTGGAGTATGCTATCAAAATATCATGTCAGTCCGTTAACAGTTGTGGATTTGGCAGAGATTTGTAGCAAGAGTCCTTTGCCTAGTAAACTTCCAAGTTTTCGCTCGAAAGCGAATTTTCTGCTCAGCCTCAGAGGGGTCGGGCTCACTTCTCCTTAAAAGTTGGTTTTTAAGGGTTTGGGAATCCAACCTTCCGATTCTGACATTCTTTTGCTATTTTGAGGTTGCTCTTGCAACAAAATCTTCTTTCAAATGGAGGACGTTTAGGATTGGGACAGAGGACATACATCCCAGAAATGGAACATGAGTACAGGACTTGCCATTTCACAAGTGCCCACTGCACATACATACATTTGCATACTACGCAGACACTATAGTACTGCTCACACTATACCAGCTCCAGCATGCGGCAGTGCTTGTCGCTAGTACTTTTTACTTGTTGTGCTCGTTGTGCTCATTTTTGTGCAAAAGGGTGTGGACTCTCAGCGGCCAGAACCCAATTGTCCATAGAACGCCACAAACGACGTTCACTGAAACTGAGTGCTGGATGCGTGGTGGGCTTGCAACCTTAGTCACATTCTCCACTTGCAGAAAGCGCGCATGCAGCTGCAGCACGTGGCGTCTCAAGAGAAGGCGCAGCTGCTTGCATGCAAGGAGCAGCTCCACGAGGCTGAAGCTATGCTGGAGGCTGAACACGCAAAGGCAGCCACCCTTGCATCTAATGAGGTGCCGCTTGTGAAGCAGGTCGATGGGCTGCGGCAGGAGGTCGCCAGGCTCAATTGTGAACTGGCCGTTGCAGTGACAGGTGCCACCATACAGACCCCTGAACAGAGGGCATCGACGCTGCCGCACGGTGGGGTGCCCAGCGGGTTGGTCAGGAGGAGAGGGGGGCTCCTTGTGTGACATGTTGCCCCTTTGTATTCTGGTCTGGACTCTGAGACACTGCGTGTATTCAGGAAATAGCTTTCCAGTCATTGCAGCTGTTTCGCGCAAGCAGAACAAACTTAGAGAAGACATTTTTCTGAATTTTTTAAGCTTAGCGTCAATTTTATGTTAAGGGGAAGAGGGGTCCAGCCATTGACACTAAGAGATTATGTAATTGCATTAAAAGAAAAATAACGTGGGAAGATGCACAAAATTGCCACTGACCAACGGCGCATAGCTCATGGCTTGTTGCAAAACTTCCCTCAAAACTTTCCGTCCTCGAAGAGGTCCCTAGAATGGATCAATTTTCAGGCTTTGGGGCTGCTCCCATCGCCTACAATGGCTTTTGGCGTCCCCTTTTTCAAATCACTGCAATCGCCACAAGTTCGGTCGTTTTTCCCTTAAAACCCTTTTGAAGTTAAATGGCATTGTTAAGTTATGTTGCTGAGTCCTGGAATCGAAGTAAGGATTGACGCTAAGGAGGGTGGGAAGGGGAGGTCTGAGCCTAACGTCACCTTGGCGATAAGCGTAAAAAATTCAACATGATGTCTTCCCTTAGCCCTTGTATTGCAAGCAATGGCTGCCAGGGGGATCCGACCAGTACTTGTTCATTGTCCATCATTCAGTTCCATTCAGCCCGCGGTTTTCAAGGCCCAAATCTCCTATCAGCTTGTGCACAAGTCTTTCCGGCTGATGCCATCGCGTTTTCCATGACTTGAGGAGCTGCAATGTTTCTCTGTAGGCTGTTGAAAGCGCAAACTGGCGCAACGGGTGCAGTTGTCTTTCTCCAGCGTACATTCAGTACAGTACATACACGCGGCACAGCCCAGCACACATTCGGTACATAATGTGTACATCAGGAAGATACCTGCAGACTGCAGCTGACAGCTGCTACAATTGCTGCAGCATTTCTTCAGTGAGCAGCAACAAGACAAGTTGGGTGCAGGCACCTTTGGATATGTACAAACCAGAGCATCGCTGAATCTGTGGAGGGAGTGTGCTTGGTCGCAGCCCTGACAAAATTGTAACTCCACGTCACATCATCAAAATTGCCGATGACTCTATTGCTCCCAGTCAGCAGCCACCTCTGTACATGAATCTCTCTCTACATGGATATCTCTTTACTTTGCTTCTGACATACATCGCCGAAAGGTGGCACAGGCTGTTGACATCATGTTTATGCTGCTGGGAGCGGAGTTGGGTTTAGTGAACGCTATGTAATTAAGGAATTCATCATCATCAAAATTGCATTTAGCGCAGTCGCTGCAGCCTTCAAGAACGGATGCCTGTCACATGTCGCACTGCCTTCAGCCGGAGCCTTGCATATGCTCGGCTACCATCTTTGTTGTCACGCTATTGACTGACCTGTGTGCTTGTTTATCGCTGCTGATGATCAGAATGCAGTTCACCTGCGCCGCACGGTGGAGATTGCCACGTTCACGCCTTGACGCTGGAGATAAGGCAGCACAGGGCAGCAGTGAAGAAGCTTCAATCCACTGTCAAGAAGCTGGAAAGGGCGAAATGTAGGCTTGCCGACGACCTCGAGGCAGCAGAGGACAGGGGGTGCTACTGGAAAGGCCGCGCAGAGGAAACGGAGGCACTGCTGGATGAGGCAAGTGGCACGCATGATCGTGATTGGTGTTGCATATGCTGTTGTTTTTGTACTCGGTGTTATGTATGTTCCATTTCGTATTTATCTTGCGATCCGTGATGTTGACTGTGGCCGCCAGTGAATATGGCTAAAAGGCGTGATGGCGATCTCGGTTGTAGCCACGATTTGATCGCATTCAGCAAAGGGTGCATTGCCAATGGGCACATATCAACATTGAAGTTCAGCAAATTAAATAGAATTCATGAATTGTGATCATAATGCACTGATCAGTGACCATTGAATAAGTATCAAAATGGTTGCGCAATTTGAGCATGCCCCAAATGTTTGTGAACAACTCTTTTCCGTAGTCGGTGATCACCACATCGCGCTCCGTAATTATCTGCGTGACGGCTTTTGCTTCGATTGCCATGGCGGCAGTCAAACACCAGACAGAACGCTCTGTCGAATGTGAGCGTGGAATGGAAACTTCCCAAAATATTTTTAACTGCACAGATCAGTCTCGAAGTCGAAGACCATTTGCTTTGTGGCCGCACAAGCGCATTCGTCCCTGGCAGTTGCTATCGATTTCGATTGGTGGGCCTCAACTTCCAACATGAAGCAACCTGACACTAATGCACTAGCGTGCTTCCTGGAGAAAATTGAGTAGACCAATTTGACTTCCTGTTGGTCGGTGTACCGTTGCATGTTGCCATTATCGTGCTCTCCCACGGATACACATTTTGACGTGTTTGTAAAAGTACCATGTTGAATATCATGGCAAGTTGATAATGGACAGAGTCAGTAGTGTGCGGGAGAGTTCTCCCAGCTGCTGGCGGGCTGAATGCATTACCAAGCGCACTGAAAGCGTGTGCTAAGGTGCGACATTGGTGACGCGCCTCTCTGAAGAGGCCCATGTGCCCCAAGCAGGCCATCGAAGCCAGGGGAGGCGCAGTGCAACGTGTGGAGGAGCTGGGAGTTAAACTGTGCCATGCTGAACGCGACGCATCAGAAGCCAGGGTCAGGCTCGAAAGAGTGTCCCAGGAGCTGAGCGTTCTGAAGCGCTCGGAAACCAGGCGTGCACCTCCTGCCGCAGGTAGACCCAACTGCGAGGGATGGAAAACTTCCGCGCTGCACGTGCCTGGGGGAACGGTCCAAAAATAGGTGGCCGACACCATGGCCATCTCGTGCCCTTCGGGCGCCGGTTTGATAGTGTTGCAGGGTTTTGAGCGTTTGAGCTCATGACATGCTGCCACACAATTCCGCAAGATTCGCTAATTTGCCCTGCGCCTGTAACCATATCTTGTATAACCTCCACCCGTTCCTACTGAGTGGCTTGAAACTGGCTCCATCCGCAGCGTGTACTGTGATATGCTCCTTCTCACCATAATTTCGCGACCACGCAATCATCCTGCACCCATGACAGTCCTTAAATTGTAACCTCTTCCAACGCAGCGTGTCATATGCTTTCATCCGAACCAGTGGTGTGAACCCTTGATCACACAGCATTACTTCTTGCAGACAACAGACGTGAGGGCGTGCCTGCACCTACCCTTGCTCACACTGTGGCAAATCTCCACCTCCCATGGCAGCTTCCTTCCATGAACAAGGTGTGTGCAATCTCGCCACCAAGGAGTTCACTGCTCAGCACGGCACCAGGCAACGATGCATTCACGCAACCGGGAAGGGCCGCCAGAAACCTCTGTGAGGTGTCAGATTTCTGGCCCTATCGGGTGGACCAGCTGAATCGTGAAGAAGAGGGCCTGGCGCTGCAACTGAAGGAATTCAAGAGGCGAGTGGAGGCCGGCCGACGCGCTTCCAGCCGCGACATTGCCAGATTGAAACGGAGGACACAGAAGTTGAGGAGAAGGGCAGGTGGGGGCCCACGCCTTTCATTGCATCTTTTCCAAGAACCGTGATTAGGAATGTTGTTGTTATTGAAACTATGATTATGATTGTGAATTGAAATTGTAGATTGCAAGTTTTGATTGTGAATGAAATTGCAGTTGCCATTGCAGTATGAATTGCAATTGTGGTTGTGGTTGTCTTTGCATTGCTGGTGCAGTTGCGGCTGCAACAATCACTCTTCAGGGCAGCAGGATTTTGAGGTTTTCTTGGCGTTCATGCCCCAAATCAAAACTCTTGACATGTACATGTTTGCGTGTGCTTTGTCTGACGCTGAACAGTACACTTGCAGTCAGTGCAGCTCTGACATACTTTTGCTGTTGTGTGCAATCGGGAACAAAAATTTTGAATTTGAATTGCTTCCCCTGCTTGAAGCAGAGGGCCGTGCTGGCACCATTTTGGTGTGTTGTGCACTGCCAGATCTCAATTCACGCAATTTCTGTTCCTGCCTGCATCGTGTTAATTGTTGAAAATGTCGTGTGCTGGAGATACAAGGTTGTCTATGGCGAGCAAAATCTTACCGGTACGCTTGTAACATTTTTCCGGTACGCACTTCCAGATGTGTTGATGCAATTGCAATGATTTCTATTTAATGCAATGCAGCAGTTTTGACAACAACCGCGATTTGACGGTGTAGTCACCAGTGTTGCCAAATCGGATTCATACATGTGTCCGAGGAAAGTCTGTCCAAGCAGAATACAGCATTCCATGCACCATTGCACACCGTGTATCGTTGTTAATCACGTTCTGTTTTGCAAAGATTCTCAGGGCCGTTTGCGACCGCCGGTTTACTCTGGAACATTCAGAACAGTGAGAACGGAAGAAGGGGTTGATGCGCACTTTGCCGTTGCGACACAACCGCTGAGCAGCGTGTTTTGCCAATTGCTGTGCGAACCCTCAGGTCGTTCCCCCACGAGGCCAGGCGGAGGGCGGCCTGAATTCCTCACAGACACCAACGCGCCATCGTCGCCAAGCTCAGTGATGACAGAAGACTCTCCGCTCGTCGCATGCGCGCATTGGCCCGTCGCCAGCCCCTGCCGCCCTGTTCCACTGGACTTGACCAACGCCATCAAGCACGCGGCGCAAAGGCCGGGAAGGCACGATGGTGTTGGTGCGACCGCGCAGCCGCACCCTGACGTGCCAGCGGCCGTTGATGACCCGGGCCGGCATTCTGCAGAATTGCGCAGCCATCAAGTGGAGTGCGCCCGCGACGGTGTGCCGAATGGCGCCATGCTGGAGGTGGCTCCCGGACCTGTTTCGAGCTGCCAGGGGCAAGTGATGCCAACACTTCGGCACAGCGCTGATCTGGCCCACGATCAATCCCCGAATGACACGCCAGACAGTGGGCAGGAGACGCAGACAATGGTTGCAAGCGGGCAGAGTCCTGTTGTCAGAATTCACATGGTAACTCTCCCATCTGCTCACACGGCGCCAGATGTGGTCGGTGCGGTGGAATGTGCGGCAATAGCGCCCATCTCTGCTGCAGAGGGGGATGGCCACGGAAGAAGCTGCGAGGAAGACGCGAAGATGGTGCGACACGCCAGCACCTCTGTCCGAGCCCAACACGGCGGAACCACCGAACATTCCACGCGGCTGCCTTTGCAAGAAAATCCGCTGCTGGTCACCAAACTGGAAGCTCCTTCCCAACGCAACGTCACAGCCAAAGAAGAGCACATTGCTGCCAATTCCGAAACGCAGACGCGTGGCACGGAACCAGGAACAGTGGAGGCGTCCTCCCCGCAAAATTGTTGGGGTTTCAATTGTGGAGAAGCCATTGAAGATGTGTCAACAGCCGCGCGAGAGGCACACCTTGAGCAGGAGGGCCAAGTCAGTGTGGAACGCGAAGGCCTTCCTCATTCCCGCACAACTGGCAGTTATTTTCCCAACCTGGGAGACCCGCAGGCCCTCCTGGCTCCTCTGGGGACCAGGGGCTTGTCAGCTTCGAATGGATTGAACGGAGCAAGCGCTCCACATAGCATTCGCGCTGAAGAGCTGGATCCGGGGCAAGAAACGCCATGTCACGGGACCCCGCCACAGCTACCGGGCTCAGAGCGCGATACACTGGGACCGATGTGGGATTCTGCTTGGAGGGGTCCTGCAATTCGAAAAGCCGAGCACCCGGCGGCAGATTCCAATCTTGCAGGATCTTCCAAGGTTTGCTCGGATCCGCCACTCGATGCGGACTGGTTCTCAGATGGGTCGCAGGTTTGTCCGGTGGAGGCAACTCGTGGCGAACCCACTCAGTGCGATCCAGCAAACATGGCTGGGGAGTCAAAAGACGATCTAAAGGAAGCTGGGAACAAAGCTCAAGTTGTCTGCACCGCGCCTCCAATTCTCACTGCTCCGGCTGTACACGAAGCCCAGGAAGCTGTGCACTGCAACAGCGGGGATGATGCTGACCTCCGTTCCGTCGCTCGAACTTCCTCGGCGATGTCTGAGCCCACCATAGAAGAATCGGGGGAGGGGTACGACTCTGAACGTCATCATCTGAAATTCTGTGTAACGAAAATGCAAGTGCATATTGCTTCGTCACATTACGTGCCCAAGAAAAAGGCTCCAACAAAAACATGTTGCGCGGCAGCTAACTTGCACGCATCAGACGGGTGGCAATTGGATTTACAGCAGAGCACTGCTCATGCAGCATCTCTCGCAGTCGCACCAACAGGCGTCCGTTTTCAATCGCTTTAAACCTTATCTACTACCATTTCGTAGCTTCTTCTGTAGCTTTTTTTGCTCTAAACGAGTACCACTACATTGCCATCTTGTGCAATATGACGATACTCTGCATTGTAACCAAATGGTTTGGGAAAGAGGTTTTGACCACCGCTTTCCGGTGCATTTAGGTCGTCAACGGGCAGCCTTTCCGCCACTGCGGAACGCGGAGGCTCAAGCAGCGGGAGCTCCCTGCCGCCCGAGCTGGGCAGTACAGGCGCTGTGTCTGTTGGCTCAATATCTGGAGACGGAATGACGCAAATGGAAATAGAAGGGGGCGACGCCGATTTCTAAACACGCTTCGGCCTTTCTAGTGGAAAATTAGCGCCATTTCTGCTCGACCTGCGACCGTGGAGCGCGGTACCAGGACGCTTTCCTGGCCTCGCTGCAAAGGATGGCTTGGAAACAATTCATGCTCGCCGAAACATGACGATGCAGAATGGGGGAGCTCCCCCCCTCGCACCTCCTGCAGGCATTGCTTTAGGCTCTCCCATTCCCACCTCTAGTAACTCGCGTCCCCACTGAGTGCGTTGAACGAAATGCGGCAAATCACAGGCCATTGGCCGATTGAACGATGCCAAGATCTCGGGAAATCCTCTGCGACATTGCTGATGGGGCCAATGTGGAGGCTAAGAGCAGCCCAAAAAGTAACTAGCTGTGGAAAACTGCATTTTGAGCTGTTCTGACCGGCAGGGCAATCCAGATAGTGCCCGTATACCGTGCGCCTTCGTCAGCTGGGGAAACGTTAATGCTTTCATTCATTGATATGCTGGTGGCGACGTTTGCATCATGTTTGGAGAGCGGGGTCGATATTGCTTCACTGGCACTCGCGGATGCGTGCGCATACACAAAATAAACAAAAGGGTCGGCTTTCGCCCAGGAGTGCCTCCCCATGATCAAACTCTGCGGCTGTCTCTGTTTGGATTATCGACTACTAATTAGGACAGCCTCCTTCGGCATCAGCAGGCGAGCAACAAATGAACCCACAGCGTAGTGCGACATGGGCATGCAGTGCTGCTGCACCACCCTTTGCGTACGGATGAACGGACACCAAACATTGGGTTTGCGTTAACCCCCCATGGCTGACGTGCCCGTCATGACGATAGCAAGCTCGCTCGTGGCGATGGGGGATGCAAAAATCTTCGCGACCTTTTCATTATCTACAAGTCAATGTCGTTATCACGAGGTGCATTTTTGCCATTTTTTATCACCCATGTTCGAGAACGCTTTTGGTGCGGAAGTGTTGAATATGCTACGGCATGATGTTTCAAACACCATAATGACATCATAGCATTGTTGCGCTACTTGCAGCGAGCTTATTCCTCCTGCTCCCCCCGACGCCTTGGGCACCAGAAAGCGACTACGTCGTCGAACACGCGTCATATCATGTCCCGCAATTGGGCGAGGATTGCAATACTTGCATTATATCATCAATTTGCGTGATCTATAATAATTAACACCGGTTTAAGATAGTCGTATCAAGCATGGTGTTTGATGTCGGGCACGGGCGCACCCATGCCTTCCTTGTGCTGCCATGCTCAAGCGCCATTGTGAAAGCCATCACTAGCAATAAACGACCAAGTAACACTTTCTGCAAACGCGCATACGTGAATTCATCAGTGTGCTTACTGCATGCTAAAGACACGGAAATAACCCAAACACGTAAACTTTGTACAAGTTTGAGCACGTGTTATTTGGCCCTTTTTTTCCTAGTGCATTAAATTGCTTCCATCGCAGTGTTGATGTAACTGCGCACAAACATAGCCACCGAACCTCGCAGCTTCGCTGTTTGTAGTGGCGGAGGGCCGTAATATTCAAGCCTGATGCCGTGCGCACGCATGCCAAACCACATTGGCACCGCTTTGCTGATCGTATGTATACGATACGAGGTCATAAATACGATGCGATGTCGTATAAAGGCCTCGTGCTCGACGACGCTCGACGCTCTGATACGCTCAGGAACGCGATGCCCACTGATTTCCAAATCAGTGGGTGATTTTAAAATCACTAGTGATTTCAAAATGAGTACTGATTCTAAAACAACTGTTAAAACCCTGGTGATTTCAAAATCTTTACAATCAGTGAGGATTTGTATTTATTAATAAGTAGTGTTTTATATAAGTTCAGCATGTATCAAATCTCGGGCCGCTGGCCCCATCGCCGAGCCCTGCGTCGAAGCACGCAAATCGTTGCACGCAGCAAAAACGTCCAAACGTTCGACCGAAATGCTGTGGAAAACGATTGGCACAGAATCATAAGGATGCGTCTCGCCGCCAGTAATCCCTGGCCTGTTACAACGGACCAACATCATCACGCACCAACCTACGTCAAACAATTTACCGACACGCTTTTTGCTCAGCGTTTTACTTTGAGAGCATGATTTTTATGTTCTTTACGTTGCTGCGCACAAAAAATACGAAAGGAGCGTTACTTATTCTTTCTCCCCCAAAGGAGCCAAGCGTCACGTTAGTATGTGGAAGAGTTGAATATACCACGGAACCAGGGCACGGTGCAGCCTGGGCAGTGGCGAAGCGGCTCGAACGTGTCCACTCAGGAGGCCCAGGCCATTATCATCCAACATTGCCTTTTCATCTGTCGATAATCTCCTCCAGCACAATTGCGATCCGACGCGGGATCCAAACAGCCACGGCGAGCGCCCTGGTCCGACGTGCTTGGGAACGAGTGCCGGCACGGTAGTCCTTGCGATACGCCGAAGAATGCTACGAGAGCGCTGTTGTAACAAGAACTGATCGAGCATTCGTTCGCAGCTGTTAATTTAACAGCTGCGGACACACAAAGAGGTGATGGGGCATTAGAAATTGCATTAAGGACATTGATCGACGGATTGCATGCACGGGACATGATTCCCGTTGTCCCTTTGCTGTAAACCGTTGCCGTGTGCTCGAGCCTGCGGTCCCCAGTCAGGGGTGGCCGCACCTCGACCCCTGCCTGCCTTCGTCAGCGCGTCACGCAGCGAATCAACGAACCAACCAATCATTACGTCACAAAGTGCAGATCGGGGAATTGCTGGCCCCTCTTTCCATGACGTGCCTGTGACAATTCCGGCGAATCGTTGCCTCAGCTCGGGGTCCTGTGCTTGGCGCACGCCTGTGTCCCAGCCTGGCAGCCTCGACCCGATCTGGCCGCACCGCCCATGACCTCCCCGCGTCACCCGCCCTCTGCATCCCTCCAACCAGCCAACTCCAAACCGGTGTACGCACACCGGCCCACGCCCGCCATATCGGGCTGCCAAGCGAGCCACATTGCAGCCCTGAGTTGCAGCCATCATGGCGACGATACCCTGATCCATTGATCGCGGGCTCTTCAGACCGTCCCGCACAGAGCGCCAAGCGCTGCCCAGCGCCATTCGATCCATGAGCCGAGTGCTGCCGGAATTACCATGAATTTGCGAGGAGTGTCCCATCAAGCCGGCCCAATCAACCCCTTCATGCCGGCCTCCTGGGTACGACGCCCTGCTCCCGCGCCCTTCGCCTGTGGCGGTGCGGGGGACAGCCGGAGAAGATCCACGGAGGCGATGTCCCGAACGGCGGGGGGCAGATGGTTGGCACCGCTGTGCGTCTTGGCGGTCCTTCTGCATGGTAGGCCCGCCCCCCTCGCCCCTTTGCGCATTTTGGCGGCAGCGCCTGCTGCCTGAGGAGCGAGAGGGGCACCTCCGCCGAGGCGTTGGGCGACCGCCCCGCGGCGCTGATGCAGTTTTGAGACGCGAAGCTGTGTCGGTGCAGGAGGCGCTGGGCGGGCCGGCGGGCTGTGGGAGGGGCAGGAGGGCGGCGAGGAGGCTGGTGGGTTGCTTGAGGCTGTGCGTTTCGTTGGTCGGGTGACGGGTGGGTGGGGAAGGGTGGATTGGTGCGGGGGGCGCGAGAGCGTCGATTTGGGGGAACGTGGGGCATGAATGAGCCCCAAGGGGAAGCGTAAGCCTCGCGCTGAAGCGCCGTCCCTGTTGGGCGATGCGGCGGACAATCTGGAGGGCATGCACATGGGCGCCGCGACATGCAAGATGCTGGTGGGCGCAGGATGATATCGCGGGGGGCGCGGTGCCCGGAGCGGCGGGCAGCGGCCGGCCGCTGCTGAAGAGAGTGGTCGAAGGGGTTGGATTGTCGCGGCCACCTGTGCTCGCGCAGCGCGAGTTTGCGGCTCTGACGCCGGCGGGGCTCGCGCGTGCGCTGCTATGGTGTGGATGCTGGCGTGGGGATTCATTGCAGTCTTGAGGGCGCCTGCAAGCCTTGGGCGTCAAAGCAGGCATGTTGAAGTTGAATTTGAGAGGTGTCAGCCAATCGTTTGGCGCCTTTCGTCGCGACGAACGAGTTTAGCAACTTTGCGTGAACTTGTGTCCGAGCATGGATTTTTGATGCCTGGGTGCCCATTTCCCGATAGAACACTGTGACTTCACGTTATGAAAAAGAGGAGAGTGGTACACCACCAGCTCCCCGTGAATTCACCAGAAGAATGATACACGGGAGGTACAGAGGAATTTCAAAACAAGATCAAAGAAATTATGAACGAGAAATGGGATGAATTGGCGGATGGAGGGCGTAAAATGGAAATACGCGACGCCCACTACGCAATGGTAGCGTTTCGCATTCCGGAACTTCTTCTGGATGCGCTGCACTGCTCCTGTATCAATGTGCTGCCGCCAGCTGCGCGTTTGTTAATAGAAATTGGGTAAGTACCCTTGGTCTAGCGGGAATGCAAATTACTATGCCGATACTTTAGCAAACCCGGCCAAAAATGCAACAGTGTAATGGTGCGCTCACCCTATCCCTCTCCCCATAATGGCGGAGAAGTGATGATATGACTCCAGAGATGCTGGGATGGCAGCACAACATGTACGTGCAGCATTCCAATTGTGTTTCATCCTTAGAACTTCACAGTACTGTCCTATGGCAGTGTTTCATGGAAGGGTATGTGAACAATATTTATTCATTGTTAATTCCATGTCTGACAAACCATACTTTGTTCACCCGGTTCCCGCAGGTACTGTTGACATTCCTGGGCGACTTATCTTGCAAGAGGTAATGGCGGAGATATAGTACTGGAAGTTGCGATCACCATCATGCCGCGTCATATACATGCTGGCCAAAGTGGCACCGTCGAATGTGTTGAATCAAGTTTATTGAGCTCACCAATATGTATCCATCAATCAGAATGGGAAGAATGAGAGTTTTCATCTCATTAGTATTGAACGGTGCACTGGCCACATGACTTTCGGATATTTAGCTGGACGCTGCATGCGGTTATCTTGACTGTGCGGAATGGGCTTAATTACTGCCAGTAAT